TATACAGATAAGGAAAAGAAGGCCAGACTTCAAATGAGATACTATTTATAAAGTACTTAGTTATCCTGGTGCCTGGCACATACTAGGTACTTAGTAAACACATGTTCTTTTCCTCCCCTTCCCCTTCCTAGACAAGTGTAGATGACTAGCCCAAGGTCATACTGGTAGTAAGTAGCAGAGATGGAATTGAAATTATTTCAAATCCAGTGCTCTTTCTACTCTACTACAGGTTGGACAAAAAGACCTGGAGCACCTTTCCATTTCTGAGATTCTATAACTCTAGAAAGTGCTGTCAAGTTCATGGACCAAAAAAAAAACCCCAAAATAGTACTGTTTAGTGGGAAGCTGCTCTATGCTCCTGGGGAATGCCAGCATTCCAGCAGCTACAGAAATGAGTATAGGCAGATGGAGTTCAACTAATGGATTGGCTGAAGTTCAAGCTAAGAGAAAGTAACATAAAAGAGGTGAGGGAAAAAATCACTCTGCAGCTGAATAATAATACGTTGAATTCATGCCTACAGTTAAAAGATATTACTTACGATATGTTTTCTTTTGCAATTTTCCTTTTATTAATAAAATGTGAGTATATTGTAACTTTTTCTTTACCTTATGTTTTATTATTAATAATCATAACTTATATCTACATAACACTTTACTCTGGAATTCTTACATGTATGCCAGGAGTTCTTAACCTTGTCATGAAGCCCTCTGAACAGTCCTGTCAAGCCCCATGGACCCTTTCTTAGAAAAGTGTTTTTTAAATGGATGAAATAAAATACATAGGATTACAGAGGAAACCAATTACATTGAAATCCAGTTATCAAAATTTATTTTTAAAAAGGTCCCAGACCCCAGGTTAAAGATTAAGCTATACAACATCTCACATATGTACATATATACATGTATGTGCGTATGTGTGTATATGTGTACACACACACATATACACAACCACCACAATTTTGTGAGGGAGGCAGTACAAATATTACTATTCCCATTTTGCAAATGGTGAAACTGAAGCTTAGAGAGCTTAAAGTATTTGCACAAGGTCACATACAGCTGTTAATAGAAGAACTGGGGCTTGAACCTGAGTTCTGACTTCAAGTTCAGCAGTTTTTCTACCACAACATAAGGATAAAGGAGAAATGTTTCTTGCTTGAAACTTGGGAATAAAGAGGATCCTGTATATTAAAAAAAAAGTAACATGAGCTTTCCCAATTTGACCAGCAGTATAGGTTTTCAATTTTGGGAAAAAAATATGAACAAGCTATTAAGATTTCCTCTTTCCTACTAAAAACAATAGATCTAAAGCCAAAAATGCAACCAGCCTGCATTAAGCAGCTGAGCATCTTTGCAACGGTACAGGACAAGCCAGCCTGCAAACAGCCCTACCTACCCACAGAGTAATATAAAGCTATCTTCTTTAGGAGGTACAGGAAGGTGCCTATTCCAAAGGTCGGAGACATAAAGGAAAGGCCCTGTTGCTCCCCAAAGAAAGACAGCAGGATTGGGAACAAAAAGAAGAGGCATCAAGAACAGAGTGCCAGCCCCTGCCTCTCCTCTATCCCCCACATTCTGTCCTTGATCTTTCTACAGCTCTTGTAGCACTTTGCTCTTCTCTCCTGCACTTACCATAATCTATTTACATTGTAGCTATTTGAGTATTTATGTCACTTTCCTTATTAGAGGATAGCTTCCTTGAGGGTAGGTATTGTGCCTTAATCAGCTTTGTATCACCCTTAGTGCCTAACACACTGCCTTGCAAAGATTAGAGGCTAAGTTAATATTTGTAGAATGAATATCGAATGGATTGGCCCATGAGACTCATTTTGAACTGCAGACAACTTTATATAATGAGAGAAAAATGTGGAGTTGGGTCTCCAAATCCTTTTAAACTCTACAATGTTTTCTGTTTGAAAGATTTCCCACATCTGTGATCACTAATGATAAAAAGTCAGCATACTTGTGTATACAATGTAACATTTCTCCACAGAACTATATAAATGCATAATTATAACATGTATGCACATATGCAATGTAGCGGTGTTTTTGACAGCTCCTCGGCAGCCCCAGGTACCTTCTGCATTCTCCTTTCATTTTCTTTAAGCACAAAGGCAAGACAGCAATTAGGGGGAGGAAGAGTCCTTGCATATTGTAAAGGACCAAGTAGAAGGATCAAGAGATCTTGTAAACTCTAGCAGACATTTTGAGTGAGTGGTATTGTACTTTTGTGCCTGTTCCTCTACTAATGGGAATGATCACTCCCTTGGTTAAACGACTCTATACCCTGCCCTTCTGAGGTGCAAGCAGACAATGTGTGCTGGAGTGGTTTCAATGAGAATACCCCCACACCAATCACATCAACAACACATACTTGACTGTGCTACCAAGACTCCAGAAGCCAGTGAGAAGGAGGAAATGGTGAATCGTTGCTTGCTGAACTGGGGAACTCCTAGGGGGTGGTAGCTGTGGTGCTATATGTGGTAGTCACCAAAGGGAGAAGATGCTGAGGGAGAATCATGCCACAATTTTTTCCTGGAGATTGACCAGGAAGTGGATGCCATCCCAACAGGGTCATCATCTACCCTGTGTGATAAAGGTGGATTGGTGGGATGTTGACCTCTTTTATATACATATACACACACCCCACTTTGTGACTGTGAGATCGAGCTTCGTGGTATAAAGACCACTTATGTCCATTTGTCTCGGTGATGAGAATGAGGAGTAGAGCACGAGAGGGCAAGCACAAGAAAATTGAGACTCCCCGAACAATGACTATGGCTTTCTAAAGTCAAAGTGAATTTTAACCCTGTATCTCTTAGATTTCAATTTTCTTTAGTAAATCTAATTTAATCTATACATAAGTGAGTAATCTTTTCTGATCTCTCAAAGTTGAGAAAGAGATTGAAATCCCATGGAAATAGAGGCAACAAGCCCACAAATTATTAATTTACATGGAATAAGTCATACCCTTAGACTACATAGAAACTCAAGCAGAGGCACTGAAAGGGAAAAGGCAGGTCCACACATGTACGCAGAGACTGAAAAGTGACTTGAGACCTAGAGGGTCAAAGTTCTTCCAGGGCCTAAGCAACTGATGTCACCTGGAACCAATGGCGCTTATACCTGGTGGCTTACAGAAACACTGTGCTCTAGGTAGCACAGGGCTATTTCAGCCACTTTTCTTTAGTGCTCCCATAAAGCAACTGTTCCTGAGTGAGGACACATTCTTTCAGTTGTTTTTCAGTCATGTCCAACTCTTCAGGACTCCATTTGGGGTTTTCTTGGCAGAGATACTGAAGCAGTTTGTCATTTCTTTCTCCAACTCATTTTAGAGATGAGGAAACTGAGGCAAAGACAGTTAAGTGACTTGCCCAGGGTCACATAGCTAGTAAGTGTAGGAGGTCACATTTGAACTCAGAAAGATAAGTCTTCCCTATTCCAAGCCCAGTGTTCTACCAATTGTGCCATCTAGCTGTCCTGGAGGACACATGCCCCTGTACTTATGTGTTAATATGTAAATACTTATACACACACATATATATGTATACATATATGTCTGTGTGTATATACACACATACATTCATAGTTCTATACAACAGATCAGTGGTTGGCAAACTATGGCCCACTGGCCAGATCTGGACCAGATTATTTTGGTTTATTTTATATATGATTTATGCATACATATGTAGATATATATATATATATGTATGTATATATAGATATATACTAAGATACATATGTATGTGTGTATATATTATGTATATACACATTATGTACATATGACATTCACACACCCAAAATCCTGTTTTGAGTTTGTGTATATAAGTAATTTTAACAAGATAAAGATCAATGCTGTTTTTAGGACATCGAAGCACCCACCATTAAAGGTGTTCAGTTGACTTTCACTTCTTGAAGGTTATGTTAGTTCTGTCTAGACTACCAAGCTGGAAGGCCTTCTGTTTTGGATCTAGTAATGGACTGTGTAACTTTCATTCAAAGACTAGCATATCTAAATTCAGAGAAGCTCACGGCCAGAATGTTGGCCATTGGCAAGAAACTTAGGGGCTTTAGCAACTTATGAGAACGTTTATGAAGGCACAGAGGGGTTGTGGCTAGTATTGGTAGAGGGAGTATCTATATGGATTTGAAAGTACAGAAGGTCACAGAAATAATGATGATGATGATGATGATGATGATGATAACTACCATTTATACAGCACTGTAAGGTTTGCAAAGCTCTTTACATATGCTATCTTATTTGATCCTCACAACAACCCTTTAAGATAGGAACCATTCTCATCTCCATTTTACAGATGAGGAAACTTGAGGCTGAGAGGTTAAAGACTTGCCCAGGGTCACACAGATACTAAGTGTCAACTGCCAGATTCGAATTTTGGTCTTCCTTACTTCAAGTCTAGCACTCTATCCATGTGCCACCCATCTGACAGTAATATATAATATTATATTTATATAACATGTGTCTACTTTTAGATATAAGCATATGTATATGTATATACATGTTTATGAGAGTGGAGTAAAATATCATAACATTGTAAATGTTAAGCTGGAACAGACCTCAGAAACCAACTGATTCACTTCCCTCATTTCACAATTAGGAAACTGAGCCCCAGAAAAGTTAGTGAGTTGCTTGGAGGCACATAGGTAGTAAGTGGCAGAATCGAGATTCAAACTCAGATCCTCTGACTCTAGATCTAGCATACTTTCTATTAGGAAGAAATGGAATGAAGAAGAGAAAGAGTAGAAAAATGGAAGAGAAGGAAAGGGAGACAGAGAGAGGAAGAAAGAGGGGGCAAGGGAAAGAAGGGAAAGGCAAAGGAGGGAAAAAAGGGAGAGACCATTCTGTGTCCAAGTTACAAGGTGGGTTGGTACTGTCTCTTGCTGTCACCCTTATGTGTTAGTGACCTGTAGAAGGGGGAGCACTCCAAAGCCACAGACATTCTCTATGAATGCATTCCCTTATTTGTATCCATTCCACTCACCGTGGCCTACGGAAGGTCAGGCCATACTGCTGACATGCCAGTCCCACTGTCGGTGTATAGACAATGGGCATGAACTTCTCCACATCCGATGTAAGTACTCGGTAGAAAAGTTTCTCATTCCTGTCTTGGAGTGTCATGAGAATGATGTACCTTCAAAGGGGGAGAGAGAGAAACCAAGGTGGTTGTTAGAGCCCACATGGTATTCACTGTGGATGGTCACAGGAGAGCCCACAGGGAATGCCAAAAGAACATTAATCTTTAGGTTATATTGGGGGGGGGGTTTGGAAGGGCAATTTCAGTGGAGAAACCAAATCTTCCCTTTGGAGCTGGATTAGCATAAGGCATAGGCAGAGGAAGTAGCCACCCACGTGATGATTTCAGGGGGCTCTCCCCCCAAATAATACCTCTATTACCTACTGCCTATGCCTGAATTTCCTTCACTTTTATCAGTGAGCTTTCCTATTACAAGAGGTTTTCAAACCCTTTCCTTCCATAACTATAGAGGAGCCTTGAAATCCAAATACCCCCTTAGGGTGTTAGCACACTGACATATTTATATTCAGGTGAAAATGACATACCAGATCCCTTACTAAGAGAACATTTCCAAGTAAGAGAGAAGGGGGAGAATGTAATATGTCATGGGTCCATCAAATGAGGAGGAGTCCTAAAGAAAAGGAGAAAGAAACTTCACCCATGTCACAATATTACATGTTTGTACTGGTTGTAAGCTCTCTGTTGGTATACCCCTTGGGTCCAGGGTCAGAGTTAGGAGGAATGGGAGCAGAGAGGTGGATGTTGGTTTCATGTAAGTAAAATGCTTCCTAACAAATTATAGTTGTCCCAAATTGGGATGGACCACCTCAGTAAATAGTGAGCTCCCTATCCCAGGAAGTCTTCAAGCAAAGGCTAAATGAGGATTCTTGCTCAGTCACTGGATGGACTCAATGGTCTCCAAGATTCCTTCAAAATCTGAGCTTCTGTGACTGTGACTCATGTAATGTCTGGTCTGTCCTAGGAAAATCATAAGACCCTTGAGAGCAATTATCCTTCTGACTTCACCCCTAATTCAGGAGGTGCTGAATAAATACTTGTTAAATTGAAAGACTCAGGTTGTAGGATTACAAGGGCCGGGGAGAAGAGTTAATAGCATGGGCATTCTCTACATACTTGTCGAGATCACTGGGCTGTTTCTCATAGTATCTCATCACCCGGAGGAGCTGCACATCTTGGCTCAAGAAGCAAGGGGGTATTAGGCCATGGATGCCAAGCTGCAGCCTTTCTTCCAGTGTAAATGCCATCCCCTAGGAAGATCAAATCGTAAACACATGAACAAGGAGCCAAAAAGCAAAAGAATGTCTCAAGGTTTCTCTCTCTGTATTTGTTTCTCTGTTTTTGTCTGTCTCCCTCCCTCCCTTCCACCCTCCCTTTCTGTTTCTGTCTCTCTTTTTAAAAACCAGACTAATGCTTTCATTAGTCTATGAAATTGCTAGTGGGAAATTTCTTCTCCCAATGCAAATGATCCTTTCTCTGAAACTTGGGATTTTAAGATTTTCCTGAAACACTGAGAGGTTAAATGATTTGCCTTGGTTTATATAGCCATTTTATGCAAGAGGCAGGATTTGAACTCATGTCTTTCTGAGTTCAAATCCAACTCTCTCTCTTTACTATACCATGTTGTGAGTTGTCAATAACTTCCCTCTCAATGCTGGGAACAATCCCAATGCCACATATTGGAAAGTAGCACTAACTAGAGAAGGCTTCACGTAGTGGAAATAACAATTAATTTTGAGTTAAAGTACTATGTTTGAGTCTCAGCTCTACTTCTAGCCTGAGTGGATTTGGTCAAATCACTTCCTTTCTCTGTGACTCATTTGAAAAATGAGGGGGCCATACTAGATGTTTTCCAAATCCTGTGATTCTATGTGGTCTGGGTTTCCTGTTTGCTGGCTCTAAAGTTTTAGGCAGAGGGAACTCAACAATAAACTCAAGTTTTAAAAAGACACATAAAAGACAGACAAAAAGGCAAGTGAGGATGTAAACTAAAAAGGAACATAGTCCTCTAAGAGCTATGCCAAGAGCACTAAAACCTACAGGGAGATTAGACTAGCAATAAATGCTAAGGGCAATGAAAAGATTTGTTTTGATTTGCTTTTGCTTATTTAGGTGTGTAAGTGTCCGGGCTGATTTAGTAAATCAATCTCTCCAACCTACCCAGCCCATACCTTTATCAGGTGAGAACACACCAATCAATCAGAGGTGTGAAGAGGACCTGGATACCTCTTTTGGATGATCAATTAAAGGCAGGTCAACTAAGTGTGATGGAAAGTATTTACCCTGGTAGGGCTGGTTATGCCTTGTGGGGCTTCTATTAAACCACAGTACTAATTTGGACTTGGGGACTTGAGCATCTGGTAGCTTAGTAGTAGAAATCTCCTGAGAAGAAATTAGTGGGAAGGGGGTAAGGGTGGGGATGGAGGAGGAGAAAGCTCCAGCCTTCTCCAATCTCCCAACCCCTGAAGACAAAAACATTTAGAGGGCTCACAGATCCTAGATTTCGAATGGGAAGGGACCTTAGAGGTTGTCACTTCAGACCCTCTCATTTCACAGTGGAGGTTAAGTGACTTGCCTATGGTCACAGAGCTATTTAGTATCAGAGTCAGAATTTGAACCTAAAACTTGATAGTTTTCCACCACTTGAAAGCAACTATCACCTGAAAGTAGGATTAGAATGGGTTTGCTTGGCCTTAGATGGCAGAACTAGAAGCGATGAGTGAGAGGAACAGAGAAACAATTAATTCTAAGGCAAAGAAAAAGAAAACAGCTCCAACAATTAGAACAAGAGTAGAAGAGGCTGCCTCTGGAAGGAGCTGGCACCCTGTCCCTGGAGGTATTCAAGGAAGATCTAGAAGGCTACTTGTTAGGGTTACATTGGCTAGACATGGGTTAAACTAGGTAGCCTTTGAGATTTTTTTCCAGTTCTTATATTTGAGGATTGTGTTAGGTGGAGCTGGTATGAGAAATGAGAAGAGCAATGCAGGAGAAGTCTTGGACCAGCACCCCAAAAGAGGTGCAAGATTTAGTGGGACATCAATACTCAGGCAGGGGATTGGACTATGATTTGGTCCCCATGGTCTCCCAATAAATCACTCTCAGTATTGGTCGGGACTACTATCCAATGTGTCAGCTAGCCTTGCCATCTGCAAATATGATAAGCATGTCAATCAGTCTGTCAATAAGTATTTATTATGAGCCTACCATGTGCAGGCATTGTGCTAAGTGCTGCACAGACAAAGAAAGGCAATCTTTGCTTTGAAGAGCTCATAGTCTAATGAGGAGACAACATGTAAACAACTATACACAAATGAGACAAATATATATAAATTGGAGATAATCAACAGAGGGAAGAAACTAGAATTAAGGGGAAATGGAAAAGACATCACATAGAAGAAAGGCTTTTTAGCTAGGCCTTAAATGAAGCCAGGTAAGTGAGGAGGTGGGGATGAGGAGAAAGGGCATTTCAGGCATGGGGACATCCAGAGTCAAGAGCTGGAGTGTCTTCTTGATTGCAAGAGTAGTACAAGGGGGCAGATGTTTGCACACCATCTATACTTTTACAGGTCATCAATAAAAATCAAACACTGCTAAACCCAGATCCCTGAGTATACTACTGGAAGCCTCCTTCCAAGTTGACATCAAATCATTAATGAATATTCTTTGGGTCTGGTCATTCAACTAATTCTGATTCTAGAACCAGATAATTATCAAATCAATCAATAAGTATTTATTAAGCACCTAAGTGCCAGGTACTGGGGACACAAGTACAAACAATGAAACAATCCCTACTCAAAATGAGCTTGCATTGTAAAGGAGGAAAGGACAAGTACATAGAAAACTACATACAACATGAATAAAAACGTTAATAAATACAAACATATAGAAAGTAGTTAAATACAGGGTAGTTTGGCAGAAAGGAAACTAGCAGTTGAGGGGCCCAGGAAAAGCTTCATGATGAAGATGGTACCTGAACTGAATCTTAAAAGGGAAGAAAGGGACTCTCTGGAGTGGAGATAAGGAGAGAAAACATTCCAGATATGGGGGATAGCCAGCGCAAAAGCCCAGAAACTGACATTGGAGTTTTGAATGAGTAAAAGAGAGAACAGTGTGGCTGGATTATATGATGAGTGAGGGGGCAATGATGTGCAATGATGTTAGAAAGATAAATTGAGGCCAAGTTGCATAGGGCTTTAAAAGCTAAACAGAAGAGTTTAAAGAGTTTCATTTTATAGGTGACTCCAGACAATCTTCCTACAGCATAGTGCCACACATTTGTATTCATCCTCTGTTAGCAGTCCTTGCTTCTATCTTCTCAAATCTAGCTTGCCTTGGGAATTCCCTGTACATTCATAGCAGTGTCTTAAGAAAACTGCCCTTTTTTCCTTCTCATTAGAACAGTTTCTCTTTCCATCTTCCAATTTTATTCTTAAGAGCTCCTTAATCTTTCTGGGCTCACTTTCTCTATGGAATTTTAATCCATGAGATCTACCTATTCTTCCTTTGAAGTAACTGAAAACTTCTCTTCCAAACTATATAGTACACGTGTTTTTTATATATATATATGTATGTATGTATGTATGTATGTATGTATATATATGTATATGTATGTATGTATATATATGTATGCATGTATGTATATGTATATATATGTATTATGTATATGTATATATAATATATGTATATATAGAGAGAGATGTACACACACACACACATATACACACACACACATACATACATACATACACACATAGAGATAGATAGATATATCCATCTAGTTTTCTTCTTTTTCTATATCATAAACTATAAGAGAGACTGGTCACTTCTCCCCATTCTAACCCTCTGCCACGATATCTATTATTTCCACTTCAGCAATATGGTTTCCTTGTCTGTATTTCCCCTTCTGAAGGATGAAATTATCATTAAGGTAAGTCAAGAAACTAATACATTCCCTATTTCTAGCAGAGAGAACTTCTACAGTTGTCTACTGGTCTCCCGTAATTACTACAGCATTTTTCTGTGCCAGGCTTCTGATTTGTTCTGTCTATTCCTCATCTATTTTCTCTTTCTGCCAAAGTGGACTGTAGCATAGTCTTCTAATGAAAAAAAATCAGTTTCTGCCTTCATTATTAATCTTTGCTGAAGTATTTTCTACTATATATCCCCCATCCTGTTCCAAGATTTCCCCACATGATATATTCTTTTAATATAAAATGTTACTTTTCCCCTTTTACCTACATTGTTTATTTTGAATAAAGGAGTCTAGCCATGAGTCTCATCACACCAAATTTCAGTGACAGTTATAAAGTCAAATCTGCCTCCTTGCATTACAACTCCCTAGTTCCTTTTGCTTTTCTGCAATCAATCAATGAATAAGCATTTATTAAGTACTAATGCTGGTTGCTGGAGGAAAAAGGGTGAAGAATAAAACAATCCTTACCCTCAAGGAAATTATATTCTAAGAAGTAGAGCTAACCTTCTAACGTTGAAAATAGAGGTTTAATTAATGTCTGTAGAATTTAATTGATTATAGTGTGTGTGAATTCTTAAATGTGGAGAAGGGCTGGAAAAGTATTAGGAAACCTCCAGGGTCATAGGATTCAGAACTAGATAGAACCTTAGAGAATATCTGGTCTAACTCCTTCATTTTACACATAAAAAGGCAATACAAGGTCATAAATAGCAGAATTGGGATTTGAATCTAGGTTCAAAAAACCAGGTGCAAATCCAGTGTTCTTTCCTCCATACCATTTGCTTGTCTATCTAGAGCAGGGTTCTTAACCTCTTTTTATGTGTCCTGGACCCCATTGTTAATTTGGTGAAGCCTAAGAACCTAAATGATGTTTTAAAATAATTGAAATAAATGCTAAATTTTAGTTAGAAGTTGTGAAAATAAATATGTAATTTTCCCCCCATCCAACTTCATAGACCCTCTGCAATCTATTCCAGGAACCCTTAATTTAGGAATACCAAATCTGCAGCCTATTCCACATGAATCATGATTAATTCAAGGTCTTTCTATACTTCTAGAAAATAAACATTACTTAAAATCTGGAAAATTTAAAGCATTTCAGCCAGGAAAATAGCTAGAAGTACAGGCAAGATGGATTGCTAAGAATTCTTATAGATAAAAGAGATGATTTAGAAATCTTTTTTTTTTTTTGGCATTCCCTGGGTGCTGGCTGCCAGTGCCTCCCCTTGGGAACAATATTTGTCCCTTAATCCTTTTGTATGGAGACACTGCCCCCAC